GGTTCAACACCGTTTCCCTAAGCAATTCGTATTTACCTGAAGACATTTCCGCCGGTTTTTAGTAACATTTTCTATGAGGTTTCCTCCGACATGACTGGCATTTTTTCCAAGTCCAGGATTTTGCTGACTGAGTGGCTTTTACTCAGTTTGACATTTCTCGTTTACTCAATTTTTGACAACTCGATGCATCGGATGAAAGTGAGTACGATCCGATGTGCGGTATAAGAGGTGAGGAGAAAGGAAACTAGTGGAGAGGCGGGATCTGCGGCAAATCAGCGAAAACAGACACCTAACCAAGGCAGAACACTTGACTACTGTTTTCTCTACATGTGAACGGAAGAGGAGCTTTTCATCGAACAACATCCCGAGATAGGTTACTTCGGCGGACCACTCAACCCTTGTGCCATCCATGATTACAGTACAAGATGGAGCCGGTTTCAGTTTGGGCGATTGCCGATGGAGGAACATGATCGCTTGTGTTTTGGTGGCATTGATTTTGATTTTCCACGTGGTGGCATAATCAGCAAAGGCGTTAAGGCATCGTTGAAGTTTGTTCGTTATTTCGCGAGGCATCCTTCCTTTGACGGCTATTGCGGTATCATCTGCGAACAGGAAAAGCACGCAACCGTCACCGAGGGGAGGAATGTCGGAAGTGTAAATGCTGTAAAGCAAGGGGCCCAGCAGACTACCTTGCGGGACTCCTGCTGGGATCGAAAACGTGTCTGAGAGACAACCATTCAACGATACCTTAAACGACCTTTGCTGGAGGTAGTTACGGGTGATTTTAATAAGATGTAAAGGAAAGTTGAAGTTACAAAGCTTGTACACAAGTCCATCATGCCAAACATTGTCAAACGCCTTTTCAACGTCTAACAAGGCCATGGCTGTGGACTTGGATACAGCTTTGTTACTTCGGATGTTATTTAACACCCGTACTAGCTGATGATTGGTGGAGTGCCCCTTTCTGAATCCAAACTGTTCCGGAAGGAGAATGTTGCTTTCCTCGACAAACTTGAGCAAACGATTGAGAATGAGTTTCTCGAACAATTTGCTCAGTGCGAGGCTCAGTGCTGAAAGGAGGCTGATTGGTCTGTAGCTTGAAGACAATGTTGGATCCTTACCGGGTTTGCGGATCGGTATGATTTTTGCTACTTTCCAGATGCTTGGAAAGTAGTGCAGTTCCAAACATCTGTTGAAGATAGCAGTTAGAAGAGACTGCACTTTCATGCTGAGTCTCTTCAAGATCAAGTTGAATATACCGTCAAACCCGGGAGCCTTCATGTTCTTGGTGCATTTCAGCGCTGAGCAAATTTGTTGTACTGTAATCATATCCGCCGGAGGCACGACACAAGGGGAGGCATGTAGGTTTTGAACGCATTGCGCAACCTGATCATCGAGCGGACTTTGGATAGTCGAGCCAAGCAAATGCGATGAAGCGACATGCTCGCCGATGGCATTTGCTTTCTCCTGTGGGGTAATTAAAAGCCGATCGTCATCATTTTCGACTTTGAGAGGTGGAACGGGTTTGGGATGATTTTTCAGGACCTTGGCTACCTTCCAGAATGGTCTGGAGCGGTCGTCCAGATTCTGGACAACACGCCCGAAACTTTCATTTTGGAGTGAGTCCATTCTGGAAGCAATCTGCCTGTTCAGATCGGCCATTTCACGTTTTTTGCCCAGGTCTCCAGTCCTCTGAAACTGGCGTCTACGCACATTTCTCAATCGAATCAATAATTGGGTGTGGGAATCAATAGCAACAAACTTACCCCTCACAGGAACTTGTCGAACGCATGTCTCGTCAGCCTCGGATATGGCCTGTTGGAGTCCTTCCAACGCCCGGTCGATGTCATCTACGGTGTCGAGTAGTGGATTTTCATCGATGTTGCTGTCCACCATTCGACCGTACTGCACCCAGTTGACATGGTGGTAGTCTTTACGCAGGCAGCCTCTAGCAGGAACCACGTTGACACCGACTTCAGTCACCACCGGTTGGTGGTCGGAGCTGAGATCGTTGTGCGCCTCCGGCTTGGATAGTCCGATGTTTGACAGGAAAAAGTCTAGCGTGGAGGGATTTCCCGCCGGAGAGATGAAAGTTGGTTCGTCCGGAAATTGCACTGTGTACCACAAACGAAGTTACAGACGACTTTCTCCGAAGAAATTAATTAAAATAATGTGGTTCTCTGTAATAGAATTCTAGTCAACCTTCCGCTCCTCACCGCCAGGTTCGCTAGTATTTTTGTTTTGAATTAATTCAAGTTGGTTTTGTGTGCAATGATCTGGCAACTCGCGTTCACGCTCGCATTGACGGGGTGCTGTTTTCTCACTCATCGAAGGAAATTTTGATTAGAGTGAGAAAGTAAGAAATAGTCAGTGCGGGAGCCGTGTGCGTTACTATAGGTGCGGCAGAAGGAATGTAGTCGACTCTTTCGTTCTTACGCATGATTCAACGTTACGTCACACTAGATTATGCATAAGAACGTTGTGATAATGAAAGAGCTGACTTGTTTCCTGCTGCCTCATCAATCACATTGGTCACAGCACTTGCGATTCTCCATCGGCTCGTCTCGCTGCGCGTATGTGTTTTGCGTTCCTTCCGATGAGAAAATATTAATTTCAGGAAAAAAATTTATAAAAAAAGTGATTACATATAAGATATTATTCGGTGAGTATTTAATAAATACTTTTATTATTACAATATTTATTTCCTGGGGATAAAAATAAAATTGTGTGGAGCAGAATGCAGAATAATTATTCTGAGAAATTCCAAAATGGCTTCTGAGAATCGAGATTTTTCTTTTTTGATAATATATATTATAGATAATAATATTATCTATAATATATATTATCAAAAAAGAAAAATCTCGATTCTCAGAAGCCATTTTGGAATTTCTCAGAATAATTATATATATTATAGATAATATTATTATCTATAATATATATTATCAAAAAAGAAAAATCTCGATTCTCAGAAGCCATTTTGGAATTTCTCAGAATAATTATTCTGCATTCTGCTCCACACAATTTTATTTTTAGTGCTAACATTTGAAAACGGCGCAAAAGCCATTTGTAAACAAATGGTTTGTGGGCCCTTTACTCGCTACCCGAAGAACGCCCACGCAAACCAACAGCATCGTCAGGAAGGGGAAAATTTCCCCTACCCGATGTTGCTGTTGTGTCGCGTGGGTGTACTTCAAGAAGTGAGTAAAGGGCCCACAAACCATTTGTTTACAAATGGCTTTTGTGCCGTTTTCAAATGTTAGCACTGATATATTATAGAGAAAAGTTGATCTGAGTAGCCACTTTCGAAAGCAATGTTTCAATTTCCAGAAATCCTGAGGGAGATTTGTGTTTTCTGAAGAAAAAAAACCTAGCATTGTTAAGCGAAGTGGCGTCCCTCCTCCTTGAGTTCCTTACTATCGCACTACAATAATTCCTCTATATTTTCTTTTAGAATTAACCACCGACACCACCATCATCTACGTGTTCCGGCCAGTGGGTCGATACCCGGTTCGCACATGCCATTGCAGAGTTATAAGGAAATTCTATCACTATGGCAGCGGAATCGGATCAAAACACGCATCCATCCGTTCCATCGCATGAACGTGAGTAAAACGGTATATATTGTAGACCAACAATTGAAAAGGTACTATCAACTTTTATAAACAAAACGTTGATTATTCTTTAACCTGAACGTTGGTGGGCGGGCCTAATTTTATGCTTCATAGTGGGGCGTTGGAGATGGTTGGTTTAGGTCCGGCATCGTTGGATTATACCGTGGCAGAATAGCATGTGATGAGTATTACTGAGCTTCCCCTCTCTGATGAACCTTTGCATGCGAGAACCAAAGTTCTAGCCTGAAGTGATATTATCACACCTGTGACTCCTTTTTTAAGAGCTACGTCTTAGTTCGCTTACGTATAGGTACTGACGTTGGGTGCAATGCTGCATTATCAAACCATTTCATCGCGAGGAACGTATTGCCCTACTATCAAAGTAACATAGTGTGTAAATGTACGCATTTCGCTTGAAGTAGCTTTGATAATAACTGCTTTTCGTTTTACTTTGCTGTTATATGCCGGTGCCTTCAAGTGCAACAAGTATTCTTCAACATTAGGAAATAAAGAAGAGCACGTCGTCACCATACAGCTAATCATGATGTGTCGTTTGATTTGAGATTGCATCTAAAAATGCCTGCATTCGGTAGATACTTGCATATGTTTCACCTTGCTTTATCCCGTATACAGTTCCGCTGATGAAATGCCACATCAACTTGGACACTTTGGAGTAGGGTAATCCAAGCACAGCAGTTAGTTTTACAAGTACATCGATAGCTCTGCCAATAGATTGCACTTGGTAGTAAAAATCGTTGTAGTGTACAAAGATTCCATCAAAGGTCCCGTCCAATCCTTTCCCTAATACTACTATCTCGGGAACGATAGGCAACCCTAGTCTGCGTAAATCTTTTGCGCATATGTGCCAGTATGTTCAAGGGACTCAACAAAAACTATGGTGTCTTCTTGAGCCACGCAAATGGTTGGTTTGTATCTGGGACTGGCAGGTGGGAGTCAACACCGTATTGAGGCTTAGCAACAGCGCACATAGCATAACATCTGAAAGCACACACATAAATATAATGTTATGATATGTATACGGATTACTATTTTATGGTTAATGAACTACCTTACCTTCATTGATATTACTGCTCGTTAAATATTTCAGCAAGCCTGCTGCTGTTGGATTCAATGCTCTCCTTGAAATGTAATCGATGATCCCAGGTCGCAAGGTTTCTAACTTGTGCAGTCCATTGCCATTGTCAGGATACATTTTTCGAAAATCAATATCGTTTTAGAGATAAATAATAATAAAAATTTAGTGTACTCTGGGCAAATACATTGTTGCATCGGGTCAATTAGTAGCCATTCGGTAGAATGAAATATGGTGGGTAAGTTGAATGCACATTATTTGGGTTCATTTCTTTCAAAATCGAATTTGCAATCATTTTACTCGAGTGTTCAGTATTTTATTTCAAAGCAAGCTTAAATGATGCCGGTCTCCACATTGGAAGTGCTCAAATGTACAGGTGTATCAAAAAGTCTCACTCGTACAGGCCTGTACCATTTCGTGCCATGGCGAGCAAAGGTACCGTTCCAGCAGGATTAAGCTATCCCTGAAAGCCTTCATCGACTTGGTTCTCACCGACTGCATCGCCGGAAAGAAATCCGCTTCCGTCTCAGCAATTGTCATGTCCTACAATTAAAATCAATATTAATTTAATACATTCATCATTCATTCAATTAACTAACCTTTACACAGGTGCCTTAATCGTCAACAGGAATCCGATCTTCTTCGCTTCCTGCCTCTTTTACAGCTTCAGCAGCTCGTCCAAATAATGGTCGCCGTTGTACCGTTTTAAGAAAGAGTACACTGAACCAATTTGACATATTCCTGTTATGTGGAAGTCTAATAATTTTGCGCTATAAGATAATCCATTGAAAATGATATGATTGAAAATGTGTCAGGTAAATTCTATTTGAATATCTGATACATTGACAATGCTGATAATTTGAAAACTTTTATATGATCGCCATATGATAAATGAAAATCGGTCAAATTATAATAATTAACTGAAATGGATTTGAAACCCATAAGCATAAGCTTTACTTTTCACCACAATATAATATATGTGTCATAAATCAATCGAAGTAAAGTTTATGTGAAAATCACATGAAATTTACTTATTCTTTTGACACATATATTTAATCGATTTCTAAAAATAAATCGAAAAATAAACACCAGGCAGTGGGAGCTTTCACAGTTGTGTTTTTTTATTGTAGCTGATTTGGGATTCGATCCAGAACTGTTGAGCTGTGATGCTTTTCGTGTCTGCGCTCGATTCCATTGGGCCACGGCTGACTTCAATATTGAGCTCGTTCAATTAGCATGAAGTAATAACAGCTCTCTCAACATGGAATATAGAACAACGTTATGCTCGTTTTGCTAGAGTGAAGAAAAATAGCACTGACCAATATATGCTCCGTTTCAGTGGTGTCGTGTATTCAAATCATTATTAATGCTCCTGTGTGCTATAAAACAACGACTACATTATATGAGTTCATGGAACTGGTTCATGAATCTTAGCAAATAAATATTGCAGTAGAATCATTTTTTTCAATCTCAAAACATTCTTTTCCGGAACCCCTTATCTTATGAAACAATAACAAACAATGATTATTTATTACAGTATCATTGTTGTTAGCAATATTTAGTTCGACTAATCATTCTAATGAGTGTACGATACAAGGTACGATAACATAGTTGAAAATTGTTTCAATAATTTATAAAGAACAATTATGTAAGATGTATTTTATTGGGAGCGATGTTCATCCCAGAAAAACATACCAAAACAAATGTTTGCTGTTGGATTTCTTAAAAGGCAAATCTATATGACTATTTAATGATTGGGATAGATCTTTTTACAATATTCAAACCTCAAAAATCAAAGGAAGCTATTCCAATGAGATATATATGTTTTCCTATACTGCAAAGTTAAATGACAGTCCAATAGTTTCTACATGTCTGTTTACACGCGACATATCAACAAACGTCAAAAATCGTTAAAAGAAACTCCAATAAAATATACATGATTATCTTATATGATATATCTTTTAGTGAGCAATATTCATCATGAAAACAGGTACATTTTACTCGATTTGCTCATAGTGCAAACTTATATGATTTTCCATTAGTTTCTAGATGCCTGTTCCCACCCATGACATATCAACAGTTTTTCACCATGAAATATATCAGACAATATTCATATACATCTTACCTATCGCTAACCACGTTCGAAGCAAAGTATTATCAAGTACTAAGTATGTGAAATTACGATAGAAATCATTCCATATCGCAGTCATAGTTTTTAAGTGATAATCCATTGGAATCTATCAATCATCACATAGAATGAATAAATCTCCTGACATTGCTATGTTATAAGATGGATCCAATAAACGGTACATGTCGATTTGTTTCAGTGTACTTTTACTTCTAGCGTTTAGAATCATAAGGGCCAGCGATGATCGATTATCTTCATCGGTTTTCTCTTTGCATTACTACAGTTAACTGAATCAATTTTTCGAAATCTTATCAACACAGTATTGCCACACAGATAGTTAGCAAAACCAACATCAAATCTCGATGAACATTTCAAATGGTCCTATCTGCTTTGATCGATTCTCTTCATCGACTTTCTCTTTTCATAACCACTGCTATGCAAACAGATTTTGCGCTAATTCTATCATATAGTTTGATAAAGGGGGTTCTTATCTAGCGTCCAAAACGTCAAATACAACAGGGAAAGGTTTTGCAACTGAATTATTGACGAAAGAGAAAGTCGATGAAGAGAATCGATCAATGCAGATAGGACCTTTTGAAATGTTTATCTAGAAATGCACCGAGAAAATTTAATGTTAATCCACCAGAGTTCAAGCTGAACATTGCATTAGGTCCTAAGTAACATTGAAAGATTCTCTTCGTCGACTATCTCTTTGCATCCCCATTCCCATGTATTTTCAGCACACAGATCGATAAATATGACAAACACACATACTGTGTGTACTGTGCTCAAGTTATTAACGAAAGAGAAAGTCGACGAAGATAATCGATCAGTGTTACTTAGGACCTAATGCAATGTTCAGCTTGAGTTATTAGTGAAAGAGAAAATCGATTTAGAGATTCGATGATTGCAGTTAGACCCTTATGATTCTGAACGCTAGACTTTCAGGTTGCCGAATTTTCTACACGGCCAATCAAAGTTACTCAGAGACTGAGTAAAACTAACTCATAGCTATTTTTTTAATTACCCAGTTCGAACCTGGATCAAGTGTGGTTTTAGAGCAAATTTTAAACAAACTCGGTCGCTGTCTCATGCAAAAATCTAACATGGCTGAATCATGATTTTGACACATTAGAACACCTATATGTATTCACCTTGATCTTCACTTTCGTTCAAGCAAAACAAAAGTTCGACAGTGAGCATGCATAAGGGCCAATACGCGATGATCGATTCTCTTTATCGATTTTCTCTTTGCATTGCTACAGCTAAGCGAAACAATTTTCTAGAATTTGTTCTATGCAGAGTAGTAACAGGTTGTATTGGCTATCAAAAGCAACAGCAAACGCACCGAGAAACGTTAAATCTAGCGAGTTATTAACAAAAGAGAAAATCGACGAAGAGAATCGCCCGCATAAACGCGAACCATAAATTGACCTTACCTAAAATGGTTAAACATTGTTTATAATCCCTGCTAAACTTTAACTGAAATGGTTATGGAACTTTACATGAACGTTTAATGATAAAGTTTCAACCTTATGTATTATGGTTTTTTGGAACTGGACCTTACAAATAATGGGTTGTTAAGAACCATTACCGTTCCAAATTCTTGTTTTCTCCATACATGTTCGGAAAGAGAACTATATTAGAACCTTTTAACTTATGGTTTGAGAACTTTAATGGTAATGGTTATGGTAGTCAGTAAGGTCCACGAATGGTTTTGTAACATCGATCAACTTTATGTGGAATATATCGCGGATTGGTTGCCTGTAATTTACTGATTACCAATTCACGATATATTCCACGTAAAGTTGAGCGATAATACAAAACCATTAATGGACCTTACTGACTACCATAACCATTACCATTAATGTTCTCAAATCATAAGTAAAAACGTTCTTATATAGTTCTCTTTCTGAAAATGTATGGAGAAAACAAGAATTTTGAATGGTAATGGTTCTTAACAACCCATTATTTGTAAGGTCCAGTTCCAAAAAACCATAATACATAAGGTTGAAACTTTATCATTAAACGTTCATGTAAAGTTCCAAAACCATTTCAGTTAAAGTTTAGCAGGGATTATTAACAATTTTTAACCATTTTAGGTAAGGTCAATTTATGGCTCGCGTTTATGCGGGCGATCATCGCGTATAGGCCCTTATGTATGCTCACTGTCGAGTTTTTCATTGTTCGACAGTGAGCATACATAAGGTCGTAAACGCGATGATCGATTCTCTTCGTCGATTTTCTCTTTTGACAATGGCTCGCTAGAACTAACGTTTCTCGGTGCGTTTGCTGTTGCTTTTGATAGCCAATACAACCTGATAGCCAATACTCTGCATTGAAAAAAATCGATTAAGAGAATCGATCATCGCGTGTACGCCCTTATGCATGCTCACTGTCGTGTTGTCCTCATTTTTGGACCAGCAATACACGCGCATATCAAGCTGAACATTGCATTAGGTCCTAAGTAACATTGACAGATTCTCTTCGTCAAATTTCTCTTTGTATTCCCACGGCCATGAAAAGACAGTCCCAGGTATTTTCAGCACTCATATCGATAAAATAAGGTTTTATCTACACTCTTAGCTACGATTACCTAAAATTATCGGTAAAAAAAATCGGTATTTTTTACCGATAAAAATCGTTACTTTTTACTTTAAATAGGCTATTTTTTACTGTAAATTAGGTAATATTAAACGTTAATTATTGGTAATCCATGATTACCGATAATTTAGGTATGTGCACTTACTTCGATTATCATTAATTTCTACCGATATTTAGGTATTCTTTACCGACTTAAAGGTATGTGCATGTTAGCGTGTAGTATCTATTATGACAAACACGACAAGAAACGATTATGTGCTCAAGTTATTAACGAAAGAGAAAGTCGACGAAGAGAATCGATCAATGTTACTTAGGACCTAATGCAATATTCAGCTTGATATAGAAAGGATTATTAAAGGCAAAAACGTCAAACGCGTCAAACGTTAAATACAACCCTAGAGTCGGTGTATAATGAGTCACGCCAAGAGTGAAGCCAAGTCTACCTATTGAACCGTCAAAGCGGCTACCTATCGTGCAAAGTAAATAAACATTACGATGCTACGAAAGATTCACGAAAGGTATTGCAATAAAATATAAAATATAATCGAAGAAATGAGCATAAACACGCAGTGAGCGTTAAATTGTCATGGGATACGCTCGGTAATGATTAGTAATGAGAATTTCTACTATTTTTTGTTAAGATAATTTGACAAAATCACTGATATAATGATTTACTACAGCCGCAGTATTTTTTCTCTCGCTAGAAGTCATTTGAAGTTGTTGTAGAAGTCCTCTGTTGCCAAGTGAAAAGAATTGGAATCTTTCGAAAACCGTGATGCGAGTTCAACTGTTTTTCTCTTGGCGTGACTCATTATACACCGACTCTATACAACCCCTTAGCACAAAATAAAAGCAGCATAAACAGGTTGGTACTAAGTACAGAAGTGTAATGCTGATTTCTCTTAATCAATATTTTCTTACAATTTGTGTGTTTAGGTAATCAATGTTTCGG